GTCTTTTTACCCTAGCTGCCTAGCCAATTCCTACCTCCTATTCTTATCACACCATCCTCTGAAGAGGTTACCCAAATTGCCAATAGGGAATCGGGACGCAGACCGCTCTGGCTTCTTCATGCTAAATAAAAATATATTTTTTAAAAAGAATATATGGGGCTGGAGAGATGGCTCAGCAGTTAAGAACACTGGCTGTTCTCGCAGAAGATTCGGGTTCAAATCCTAGCATCCACATGGCAGTTAACAACTGTCTGTAACTCCAGTTCCAGGGGATCTGACAGCGTCTTCTGTCCTCTGTGGGCATTGCACAACACGGGTGCGCTTACCTATATTCAGGCAATACACGCATACACATAAAATAATAAAATATTTTTAAAAAAGAATATATTCAGGGCTGGAGAGATGGCTCAGCAGCTAAGAGCACTGGCCGCTCTTGCATAGGACCTGGGCTCAGTTCCTAGCACCACATGGCAGCTCTAACTCCAGTTCCAGGGGATCCAATACCCTCTTTGGGCACCGCATGACATGGGTACACTTACATACATGTAAGCATAACACTCATACACATAAAAATAAAATCAAATCTATCTATCTATCTATCTATCTATCTATCATCTATCTATTTATCTATCAATCATCTATTATCTATATGTCTATCATCTATCTACCTTTCTTCCTATCTATCTATCTATCTGTCTATCTATCTATCTATCTCATCTGTAGGTTGAAAGAAAGACTGAGAAAAACATAGCCAAGCCTGGTGACTCATACCTGTGATACCAGCTCTTGGGAAACAGAGCCAAGAGGATTATCACAAGCTTGAGGACAACAGCCTGGTGTACATAGTGAGTTCCAGACCAACTGTGACTATGGAGTTGAGACCCTACCGAGAGGTGGCGGCAGCTGGCTTCAGAATTCTGACATGATGAGCTAGTAGAATTACGGATTACTTTTTCTGTGTTTTTTTACCCTGTGTCATATTGCTTTAGCAAAAAACAATGGCAGAGGTGTGCTTGTTGCACAAGTGGAAAGACCTGAGTTAGATCCCCAGGACTCATGCTAAAAAAAAAAGGAAAAAAAAAATCAGTTTTGATGGTGCACACTTGTAATCCCAGAGCTGGGGAAGACAGGAGGAGGCCTAGGTCTCACTGGCCAACCAGCCTAACCTGGTCAACAAGCCCCAGGTCCCAGTGAATGGGCCTGTCTCAAAATACAATGTGGGATGTGAGGGCCATCTGACTACGACATCTGTTACCCCACTGATTGCCAAGGTTGATTCGACTGATCTGGCTGGCTAGGCAGGTGTCCCTTCCTCTCTCAGTGCTCCACATCTCCACATGCACCCTCCCAAAGCTGTGCTCAGTCAAAGAGGACGACCTTGCCTGATAGAGGATGACCGGTCTTCAGTCAAGGGTATACAAGTAGCTGTGTTCCCCTGCTAGAACCTCTAAACAAGCTCTCAAAATACAGTGTGGATAGTACCTGAGAAATAACACCCAAGATTAACATCTGGCCTACACACATATGCACACCTACATGCACATGTACTCCCATACAAAGTTATAGTCTGTCCAGAAAAACAAAGATGTAACTCAGTTTGGTGGCTCATATCTGTAGTCCCAGCACTCAAAGATGATGAGGCAGGAGGATTACTGTAAGTTCCAGTCTAGCTGGGCTACAGAGTGAGGCCCTGTTGAAGTGCCATACAGCAGGGAACAGATGAGTTCAAGTAAAGCATCTTCTTTGACCATGGAAACAGCATTGGAAGAGTACTCTCAAGCTATTATATTGCATTGATTATATACTCGCTCTGAAAACACCCTACCCACAAGGTCTCACTGACTCAAAGAACTCACTATGTCTGTGTTTCGTACATACCTCCTGATTCAGCATCAGGAAGACAGTTTCTTGAGTGTTTTGCCACATAATGGAGTCAACAACTTCATCTCAAAGAAATAACTGTCTTTTGTTATAAATAAATTAAGCTGTAGGCCGTTTTTACTACATTAAGGTAGCCAGAATAACTGCTTATTTCAAGACAGAATTACTTTTAATTCACTTCAGGCTCTGCTGTGTGTTGAGTAAGATAGTTATTGAACTTGTTGGAGACTCACATGCAAACCTAACAGCACAAAGGGCCCAAAGTAGGAATGAACCCAATGTAATCAGGAATGGAAGGCTGAGCCTGAGGTGGTGGCCACACCTTTAATCCCAGTACTCAGGAGGCAGAGGCAGGTGGGTCTCTGTGAGATCGAGGCCAGCCTGGGCTACATAGTGAGTTCTAGGCCATCTGGGGCTCCAGGGAGACCGTGTCTTAAAACAAAATAGAAGGCTGGTGTGGAGAATGGCAAGGACAGGGTTGGGCAATTGGGCAGTCTCACAAGGGGCTTTGTGAGCTTTAGTTCTGTGCCATGGAGGATTTGAAGTGAGGAATGACAAGGTGAGATCTATATTTTGAAATGATCTTGGCCATGACAGAACAACAGGTTTTGGAGAGGCAGAGAGGGAAGACGAGGACTAGTCAGAAGGCTGGTGTGTCCACACAGAACTGGCGTGTCCACACAGAACTAAGTGGTGTGTCCACACAGAACTGGTGTGTCCACACAGAACTAAGTGTTGTGTCCACACAGAACTGACGGACCGGATCAGAGTGGCAGCAGGGCAAGTGAAGACAATGGTGGATTTGCATGTTTGTTGTGCATGTGGAGTCAATAGGATCGTCTAACTGATAAAAGTAATCAGTGCTACAATAATGTATTGGTAATTCTTCGTTCTCAAAGCAGATGTGAACACATCAGATTTCAGGATAGCCTCGGAATGGAGCTGAGATGAAAGTCAGCTTGTTTTACTCATTCGTACCAGTAGTCCACAGTAGGCCTCTGTGCTCACTCGATTATAAACTGTAAAGTAAGAACTATACCTGTATCCTTAGAACTTTCAGGCACATGAGATGTGGAAACCAGAGATATAATGAGCTTGATGCAGTTAATTTGGTTCCTAAAATGAATGCCTTAGCATCACACAAGTCTTTCAGCATATTCCTGAATTCGTTCACTTACTCCATCAACACTATTACCAGGCACAGTTTAGGCGATAGGGATTCTAAGGAGAACCACAATTCACAGGCTACACTGTCTGCGGCTGCTTGCAGCCAGGGTGTATGCCCTCTAGTTAGTGCGCTCCTTACTAGGCGCTCCTTACTTCTGTGATGTGCTTGATCACTGCTCTAAAAACTTGAAAAGTGTGATAGCCAGGTGTGGTTCCACACAGCTGTCATCCCAGCACTTGGGAAGCTGAGGCAGGACAAAGAGTGTGAGGCCAGTCTGGGCTGCATGCAAGTTCCAGGTCAGCCTGAGCAGTGAGACTGTATCTCACAAAACCAAAATTTGTTTTAAAAAAGTAATTATTTTGAAATATTTAGAATAAATCTTTCCTTTTGTCTCCCTGTTCTTTCTTGCCTCCCACCCTGACCCCTTTTCAGTAGCACATGCTAGAAGCACGTGGGCTTCAGAGCCTGACAGACTTGACTACTGTGTCTATGAGCTGTGGCACTCACTTGACTTTACCCAGTCTGTTTATAAATCATGAGCAGTTGCATTATAATGCATGAGCAGTGCATACACAGTGGCATTACCCCAAGCACAGGGCATGGGGTAAAGGGTCTTCAGTTAGAAACTCACAGTAGAACCATTATCTGTTAAGGAACTTGAGGCTTTATGGAGCAGCAAGACTAGAGCCGAGGTCAGCAACAGACCTGTAGAAAGCCTTAGCGTTACCGTTAGAGCTGCTGAAATGAGTGATGATGTCTGCTAGTAAAGCCTGTAATCTCAGTTACTCAGGAGACGGAGGCAGAAGGCTTGCAAATTCAAGGCCTATCTGGGCTGCAGAGTGAGTTCAAGGCCAGCCTGAACAACTTAGTGTGACAGAGTAGTTTGGGCATTTGGTAAGGAGGAGGCCTTGTCTGGCACTGTCAGCCAGTCAGCCGCCGTCAGCTTCCCTGGCTGTAGGCCCACACTCTTCATTAGGTCCTCCAGACAGGGTTATCTTCTTTGTCAAGTCTGCTCTATAGTTCTGAGGCCTTCATGTGCTCTTCCTCAGCCTCCACCTCCCCTTGCTCCACAACCATAAAGTCTCCCATTCTTGTGACATCTGTTTTCCTTTCCTTAGCTCTGTCTTATTCTGATTCTCCTCGATGGGAATACTTCACAATTTACATATCCTGAAAATAAAACCCACAAAATGGTTTTAAAAGTATCTGCAAGCAATTTTCTATATTTTTGTCTTTGCCTTAGAAGGGAACCATCTCAGGTCAAATTCTTTTTTTAAAATATTTTATTTATTATTTTTATTTTATGTGTATGTGTGTGTTGCCTGCATGTAGGTAAGTGCACCCATGTGCAGTTCCTTTGGAGGACAGAAGAGACTGTCGGATCCCCTAGAACTAGGGTTAGGACAGTTGTTAGCTGCCATGTGGGTGCTGGGATTAGAACCCAGGTCTTGTGCAAGAACAACCAGTGTTCTTAACCACTGAGCCATTTCTCCAGTGCCCCCCCCCCTTTTAAAAAATATTTTAAGGTCAAATTCTTAAATACAAAAGGTAATCTAATTAGTATATGGCTATCAATGTACACACTACTTCAGCACCTACCAGACAGGCTTGTGGTGTGCACTGGTTGTATTGTTGAACTCTTAGTACAAATCAAACAAGATTATAAAGACAAATCAGTGAAAAGAGAACAAAGGAAGGGATTATCACTATTATAAACTAATAAACTAGTTGGATTTAAGAGGAAAACAAAACAGTGCATTCGTCATGTGGAGACTCCCTCCTGGTGGCTTACTTCCTGTCAGCCACTTCCACCTGGCCTTCCAGGAAGGCCAAGCAGGACCTCTGCCAGGGAAGGCCTCCTAAGCAGAAGGCAGTATGTAAGTGGGAGCTTGTGTTCTTGTAACCTGAATAGGTGTGGGGTACTTCTACTTTAGATTTATAGGTAGAGCTACTCAAATTATAGGAAGATCAGAATTCCCTTCGTTGATTGGTTAACTGGATTAAATGGATGCAGAGTACCCACCTAGCATAGGCCTGACACATTACAGGTACTCCTGAAATATTATTCCAAATATTTCTGAATTAACAAATTCATTTCTTTTTCCTCCCAGGATTTGGATGTGGCTTTGCCTATTATCGAGAATTACAAGGATCGGTTGTTGGCAATTGGAGAGGTAAAGAGCCATTAGCTGATTAAAGGATGGCTAATCTGGATCTCTATGTGAAGATAACCTAGTTCAGTACTAGTGATTATACCTGACTTGGATGATTATGTTCACCCTGTTCAGCCTACTAAGAATTGGTTAATACTTCTTCAGTAAGCAAGGACACGAGAATGAATCAATAGAGAGCCCTGTCTTAGTGTATCTTAATGGAAGAAAACTGCTAACAGTATTTCTGAACACTTTGCCTTTACTTAAGTATGGCTATTGTTCTGGTGAGCTAAAAATCTATAGAGGGCCAACGAAATACTCAGCTAGTTTACTAGGGATTGCTACCAAGTTGGAAGTCCTAAGTTTGCTACACAAGACCTACACGGTGGACAGAGAGAGCTGACTCCCCCCAAGTTGTCCTCTGACTTCTAGATGCACACTGTGGCATGTATGTGCCCCCCCTCTGCTCCCCACCCCCAAATGTAATTTTTAAAATTAGAAAAATAAAACAGTCTGGACCCTTCCTAAGTAATTTTTAGATACTTCATACAGAACATCTTAATCATCATTACACCCCTCCTGTGAGGACCCTCCCATAGCTCCCCGTTAGGAGTTCATACATTCTGTCATTTGTGTTAGTCCTTTCATGTCACGTTAGTGTCCTCAGATGTCTCTCAGTGCAAGTTCATCCATTGAGGTCTAGTCAGCCTATCTAGAGTCCCTTCATGAAGATCAGCTCTTCCTCATCCAGCAGTAATGAACTGCCAATAGTTCTTCAACTAAGATTGGGGCCTGCTGTCCATTTCCACAGTTCTGTTGGGTTTCTGTCTGCTTAAGTTTGCATGGGTCTTGTGCATGCTGACACCATTGCTGTAGGTTCATATGAGAAGAGTCCCAGGAGCCTGAAGGACTCTTATTTGCATGTGGTCATGCACCTCCTCCCCAGCTTTTAAAATATTTCCACCCCTTTCACAATGGTCCCTGAGCCCTGGATGGGCGGATTTTAATATAGTTCTGTCCAAGGACCTACACTCTGTTTTGGCCATTTGTGACCTGTCTTCCTGGCCCCCTGTTCCATGAGGAAGCTTCATTGATGAGAACTGAAAGGTGCATTAGTGTTCTCTTCATCCCTTGTTCTGTGTTCCATAAGCCTTAGGTATAGAGGTTGCATTGTAGATGTGCCACTTAGGCTTGGGCAAGTCACAGATAATCTCTGTCATGGAGGTCTATAGTAATCTCTGTTGAAAAGGAAGTTAATTTGATGGGTGGTGACTGAGATACTTGTCTGTAAATTTAAGGATCCATATTTTGCACATAGTAATTACATTTGTCTAGGGATGTGACAGCCTTGGGGTTTTCTCTAAGATCTATGACCTCTCACCTATGTGTATTTGGCTATGTTTACAGTACCAGACATGAGTTTCTGCTCATTGAGTGGGCTTTAAGTCCAATTAGGTAGCTGTTGATTACCCCCAAGGTAAAAGAGCCATTACTGTACCAATGTTGTTTGCTATGGCAGTCATTGATGTGGTTTTAGGCTTTAAAGCTGGGTTTGGACCATTGATTGATGTTCTCCCTTACCAGTTTGTGTAGTGCTCAACAAAGCTATGAGAGCTGGCCTTCAGGGGAGGTGGCTTCCAGGTCAGTTCTAACTCCATTGCTCCAAATTCTGTGTCTGAAGTATGTCCTGTCTTCATCAAATAAGGTATTACCTTCAGATTCTGGGAGGCAGCCAAAGGCTGTGGCAATAGTCTGTGTAATTTTGGGAGTCTCTTGGACTACCCTGGACAACAACTCAAAGGAAAGTTTCTCCTGTCTGGCACTGTTTCTTGTTATGTAGCCTTCCTAAATAATTTTACAGCATACTTTAGAATTTGTAATTAAAGGAACATTAGATTATTTATAATGGTATTTTTATCATTTAGTATCTAGTAAAGATGACAGACAAGAAATGATGTAAATTCTGAATACTAATCAGAACACGTGCCCAGGCAGCATCAGTGGGAACAATCATCTGCCATCTGTGTGGTCCAGTGAGTGACCATGTGTGGCTTTTGAGCACATGAAATGTGACTGCCCCAAACTGAGACATGCATAAGTGCAAAACACAGTGGGTTTTAAGTTTCAGTGTCCCCACAAAGGAGTATAAAATAATTACACACAGGAATGCATAAAGTGTAGTATTAAAATTAATTATACCTATTTTTGTTAATAGTTTTTAAAGATTTTTTTTTAATTTCTGTGTGTGTGTGTGTGTGTGTGTGTGTACCTGCATGAGTTTATGTACACCATACATGTGCAGTATCCCTGGGAAGCCAAAGGAGGGTGTCAGATCCCCTGGAACTGGAGTTATAGGCCATTGTAAGCCACCTGACATGGGTGCTGGGACTCATACCCGGGTCCTCTGCAAGAGCAACAAGTGCTCCTAACCTCTGAGCCCTCCCTTGGCTAACACTTAATGTGGCTACTATAGAGTGTGACGTGTGTGTGTATGTGGCTACTATAGAGTGTGACGTGTGTGTGTATGTGGCCACTATAGAGTGTGACGTGTGTGTGTATGTGGCCACTATAGAGTGTGACGTGTGTGTGTATGTGGCTACTATAGAGTGTGACGTGTGTGTGTATGTGGCTACTATAGAGTGTGACGTGTGTGTGTATGTGGCTACTATAGAGTGTGACGTGTGTGTGTATGTGGCTCATGCTGGAGTTCTATTGAACAGCACTGATTTCATCATTTCTCTTTGGGGACTCATTAAGCCATAACTGTGATTTTTTTTTTTTTTTAATCTTCCTGTTACAGGTCGGGCTAGATTTTTCCCCCAGATTTGCGGGCACTGATGAGCAGAAGGAAGAGCAGAGACAAGTCCTGATCAGACAGGTCCAGTTAGCCAGAAGGCTGGGTTTGCCTTTGTAGGTCACTGTTTTTCTATGTTAACTATGGAGTAAATTAAATGTGGCCAGAGCTCTCTTGAGATGGAGCTCTACATCTCTTTTCTCTGAATTATTTTAATACAACAAAACAATACTCTGATATCTAAGCGTCTTAAAAGGAATTTTTTTGTTGTCAAACAGAAATGTCCACTCACGCTCAGCTGGAAGGCCGACCATCAGCCTCTTACGTGAACACGGTATTTGAGTTCCTGAGAGAAACGTGCCTAACATGCAAGTCTCACAATTCCAGTTCAGGCTCTCAAAGAACAAATCATGTTTCCATTTGATTTCTTAAAGAGACGGGAATGTAGCAAGGGTGGAGGTAGATAGCCTAGATGAGTCTCCAAGTCAGGCTGTGATTTCAAGGGTTTTGTGCAGTTTTGTATTAGGCTTGACCAAGAAAATGAACACTTGAAGCTCCAGTTTCTAAATCACTATATAAAGTACACGGTCACCTTCTCAGGATTTTCCTAAACATGTAACTTCTAGCATCCTTTTATTCTCTTTTTAAAATATTTTATTTATTTTTTTTATTTTATGTGTATGAGGGTATTGCCTGGATGTGTGCATGTGCACCCATACGTGTATTGTGCAGTTCCTGTGGAGGTCAGAAGAGGGTGTTAGAACCCTTGGAACTGAAGTTATGAATGGTTGTTAGCCACCATGTGGGTGCTGGAAACTGAACCTGGGTCCTTTGCAAGAACAACCAGTGCTCTTAACCACTGAGCCATCTCTCCAGCACCATCTTTTATTCTTTTTCAAAAAGTTTTTAAAGTACCCTCCATAATAAGAAATATACTTTCTTTTGAGATGCATATATATATATATATATGAAAAACTGGTAGAAGCTTAATAAGCAATATATATATTTATATACATATTTACACACAGGTATGTTTAGATCTATGGATTGTATACAAAAACAAATGTTGGTTGGTTGTGACCAACTAAAGTAATTTACAAACACTGGCAAACAAAGTAATATATTTGCACACATGGGGGAGGGGCGGGGGGAGAGAGAGAGAGAGAGAGAGAGAGAGGAGAGAAACTGAGACTGAATTGATTCTGTGAACCCAGGTCTTTAATATGTGCATTAGCTCTCCATTTTTTCTTCTGTGGTTCCTATTAGGAAAGCCAGTTTGCATAAAAACTTCCTATTAGGAGGATGTACAGAAAAAATTTGATGCTGTAGAAGGTTTAAATAATTGTTCTAAAAATTGCATTTCAATATTACTTAACCATTTTATTCTATAGATTAAGAACTTATTTTTATTCTCCTTTTGAACACTCTCCAAACTTTAGAAGCCATAGAATCTGACCTTTATAGCATGGTGACAAATATTTACTTAAAATTCAAATCTCTGTTGTTTAATGGGAAATTCTTTGTTGAGGAAACAAAATGCAACTCTGAATTTTTTTCTTTTTGGGGGAGGTGCTGACCAGGTATTACTGCATGCATTTGATGGTCGGCCATCTGTAGCCATGGAAGGAGTAAGAGCTGGGTACTTCTTCTCAATTCCCCCATCCATCATACGAAGTGGACAGGTAAAGCCCTTAATTAATGCTTATTCAACACTTTGTAAGGTAGAACTTAAAACATAAGCTTTTCTAGTTACATTTCAAAAATTAATCTTAGTTCTCTATTCCTACATACAAAAACTGAACTCAAAATTGGATCAGAGAGGGACTAGAGAGGTGGCTCAGCAGTTAAGAGCACTTGGCTGCTCTTGCAGAGGACCCAGGTTTGGTTCCCTGCACCCCGCACCCATATGGCAGCTAACAACTGTCCTTAACTCCAGTCCTAGGGGATATGACAACCTCTTCTGGTCTCTGCGGGTGTGTGCGCGCACGCACACACACACACACACACACACACACACACACACACTACAAATGAAACAAATCTTTAAAGAAGAGTGGATCAGAGACCTAAATGTAAGAGCCAATTTTTTTTTATGTGTATGAGTGTACTGCCTGCACGTGTGTAAGTACACCCATGTAGTGCAATTCAAGAGGGGGTCAGGAGAGGGTGTCAGATCCCCTGGAACTGGAGTTACAGATGGTGGTTAGCCACCATGTGTGTACTGGGAATCAAACCTGGGTCCACTGCAAGAGCAGCCAGTGCTCTTTACCATTGAGCCATCTCTCTGGCCCTAAGAGCCAAAGTTTTTTTTTTGTTTGTTTGTTTTTTTCTGGTCTTTTTGAGACATGGTCTCCCTGTAGCTCCAGCTGCCTGGAACTCTGTAGACCAGGCTGGCCTTGAACTCACAGAGGGTCTGCCTGTCTCTGCCTCCTGAGTGCTGGGATTAAAGGTGTGCGCCACCAGGCCCGACTGTCAGAAAGAAATGGGTGTAAATTTTTTGATGCTGGATCAGGCGGTGGTTTCCTGGAGATGATGCCAAAAGCACAAGCAATGAAAGACAGATACTGACTGCTCTTGCAGAGGACCCGGGTTCAATTCCCAGCACCCATATGGTGGCTACAAACCGTCCTTAACTCCAGTTCCAGGGGAATCTGAAGCCCTCTTCTGACCTCCGCAGCATTGCATGACACGGGTGCACTCACATACATGCAGGCAATACACTCATACACACACACACACACACACACACACACACACAGAAAAAAACACAACAACCTGGTTGAGAAGTGGGCAACAGATTTAAATAGGCACTAGAGGAAGCATGTACATGGTCAGTACGTCACAGAAGGTGCCAGCAGCACTTTCCTCTAGAAAATGCAAAGCACCACAAGACACCACCTCCCCTCTGAGTCTGGAAGCTCCTCAGAACTTCAACCTAGAATTACTGTGTTACCCACCCTTCCACCCTAGGAAGATACCCAAGGAAGGGGGGGAGCATGCCCATAAGGACACTGGTGTGTGGGTGCTGACAGCAGCCTTATTCCTAACAGCCGAAGAATAGAAACAACCTGAGAAGTGCATCTGCTGATGGAAACAGTCTGCTTTACCCATACAGTGGAGTATTAGCCAGATGGAGGGATGAACTCTTGAATCATGCCACAACATGGATGAACCTAGATCATGTTGGGAGAAAATAGCCAGACACAGAAGACCACAGATTGTGTGGTTCCATTTATAGGACATACCCAGGCCAGGCAAATCTATAGAGACAGAAAGTGGGTTAGTGGTTGCCAGGGATTGGAAGGACAAATGGGAAGTGACTGCTAATGGGTTTGGGGTGATAGTGTTTTAGGAGTGGTATTTGATGATGGCACAGGCTTGTATATGTAGTAAAAACCACTGAATTATATATGTTGTTAGGGTTTGAGAATCAAGAATAATTCCCACAGATACCCAAAAAGATTATACAAAAAGTTTATACAAGAATTTAAAGTTAAAAAAAAAAAGACAACAACCAAATGGCAGCTGGCCAGGCACAGACTTCACGAGCCAAAGATGGAGTCTGGCCCCGAACAATAGCAGGCAGGAGCTTTTATTGGGGCACTCCACAGAAACCCGCGCGCGCCAAGCATTTTTTAAAATAATTGGATCTTCCCATATCCTGTGTACGGGGGAAGTCTTGATCGGTAGGGGCTATCTTCAGGACATTGGAATGTGCTGACTGATATCTTTTAGAGCCAGAAGTTACCTTATAAGGCTTTTACATGTACAATATGCCTGAGCTTGTCTGGGCTTGTCTAAAGAAGCTAGCCAAAATGGAGTCAGAGCATTCTGGCTCTTCATGTGTCATATGTAGTTATATATGTGCTCACATATGTATATTTTTTCAATGTTAAGAATCGAATCCAAGGCTTCATGCATGTTAGGCAGGCGCTCTACCACTGAACTACACCCTCAACTTGATTTGTGTATATTTAAAACATGACTATTATGGCATGTGAAATATAGTTCAAAATATTTAAAAGAATCCTAGGTAACTTACCATATTTGATTAATTTTAATACACTCATTTTTTTCATCTTCTTTGTGAGATTAGAATTCAGGTTACAGTCACTGATGCCCTCAATTCTGTGAAACACAGTTCTCTATCATTTTTTAAAAAACTAATGCAGCCAGACGTGGTGGTGCACACTTTTAATCCCAGCACTCGGGAGGCAGAGGCAGGTGGATCTCGTTGAGTTCAAGGCCAGCCTGGTCTACATAGCAAGTTCCAGGAGTTCCAGGACAGCTGGGGCTACAGGAGACCCTGTGTCACACACACACACACACACACACACACACACACACACACACAAACCTAATGTAAAGAATGCACAATTGAAGTCTAGCCAAAAATTTTTAAAATTTTTTAAAATTTTATTTTATGTGTCTAACTGTATTGCCTGCTTGTATGTAAGTGCACTTGTGTTGTGCAATGCCTACATAGGTCAGAAGGTGTCAGATCCCCTGGAACTGGAGTTACAGATGGTTGTTAGCTGCCATATGGGCATTGGAAATCAAACCCAGGTCCTCTGCAAGAGCAGTCAGTGCTCTTAACCACTGAGCCATCTCTCCAGCCCCCAACCAAAGAAAAATTTAAGTCTCTTTATCATCAGTTGTCTTTTTGTTGACTTGTGGGGGCTGTCTTACTTTTGCTTGGTTACTATTTGGTTCACTGGAAGCTTCAGAAAAATCTTGGCAATGTTTCTGTTTGAACATGGCTGTCAAGGGCGGATCTGTGAGTGCACAGCCGCCACCTGGGCAGTGCTGGCCACAGACTTAAGGTGGATTTTAGATTCTTGCAGAATAAGATGATTTGCATGTCAGGTTAATGCTCCTTTTTATCTCTATTTTCTCGTGTTTTAAACTTACTCTCTTTTCTCTAAGAAGCAGAAACTTGTGAAACAGTTGCCTTTGACTTCTATCTGCTTAGAAACAGATTCACCTGCACTAGGACCAGAAAAACAGGTAAATGATTTTCTAGTTTGTACATCATATAGATTGTATCTTTCATCTGCACCGTTTTTGGTTTAGTTGTGACTCGTTATAGTATAAATGTGGCTTGAATGAAAATGTCCCCCATAGGCTCCAAGTATTGGGACATTCTGTCCCCAGTTGGTGGTGCTGTTTTGGGAGGTCTTAGAAGGCTGTCCTGCAGGTAGTACATCACGGGGTGGGCTTAGAGAGTTCTTAAGCTTTGTGGAATCTTGAGTTGCTCTCTTGTTTCCTGTGCCTGCTTGAAGATATGAGAGTTTAACTTCTGCTGCTCCTGCTCCAGCCACCTCCAGCCACCATGCTCCCCCCCACCCCCGCCATGACAGACTGTAATTCCCCTGGAACCGTAAGCTCAAGTAAACTCTTCCTTCTATAAGTTGCTTTGGTCAGTGTTTCTATCACAGCAACAGAAAAGTGACTAATACAATAGCTGTAATAGAATTCTAATGTTGAGAGTTCATTTAACTTCAAGTTCCTTTCTAAATAATGCTGTTGCTCCAGAGAACATGATTTGATTGGGGGCATGCCTTCTTTTTTATATTTTATTATTATTATTTTTTTATTTTTTAATGGTTTTATTACTTATCCCAATTAGAGGTAATAATTTGGTACCCATTTCAGTGCTTTGATGACAAATTTAGAATTATTTGAACATACTGACATAGAAAGCACGTATTTAGTCTAATAATTGGTTCTTTTTAACATTTAGCAAATAATAAAGCATGTACTTTTTTTTTTAATTAGAAGAAGCATTTCATTACAACAGCATTAACCTATTCAGTAACATTTTTCTGAGCTAGGGTACATCTCTTCCAAATAAAAACCTAAATGTTTCTACCCTTTCTCCTCACCAAGCTGAGGCAGATGGGAAGAACTATTTGCTCCCTGAGCCTAGAGAGGTGGGGTGACTAAAGGCTCAGACACTATACACTAGTCTGGGGGAAACCTGAGAGTTACCGGACAGGGTTGAAGAGATACAAGGACATCAAGAACTGCCACAGTTTCAACATGATCATTGTGAATGATGGGGGTGGGGAGGCAGAGGAGAACCTTGAAAGGACTGCAATTTGCTATGAGCTTTTAAGGAAGGGCAGGGTTTATAAGCAAAACAGAGCCAGCATATCCCTGGCAGAGGGCACTAAAAGAGCAGAAAGGGCCTGGGACTGGAGAAGTTTGAAGACCATACTGACCTGATCCAATAAGACAAAGGATGTGAGGCAAGCCCAGGTAAGAATATGGAGTAAGACCAAAGGTGCCCCCCACCACCAGTTATTATTAAATTTCTTATTTGTCTGTGTGCCCTTGCCATAGTGCATGTGTGAGGGTCAGAGGACAATGTTTGAAGTTGGTTCTTTCTAACATGAGTTGCAGAGATTGAAGTCAGATTAAGGTTTGGTGGCAAGCACCTCTACCTGCTAAACCATCTTGCCAGCCCAGGTTTTAAAAGGCAGACAGTGGACTCTGGCAAAAGGAGCTATTGCAGGTTCTAGAGACATGACCCAATGAGTGGGAAACAGAAATAAGAGTGGCCAGCAAAATAGCTCAGTGAGTAAAGGAGGTTGTGACAACCCTAATAACCTGAGTTGGATCTCCAAGACCCACACAGTAGAAGGAGAGAACTAACTGGAGAAAATTGTTCTGTCTTCCACACGTGCACACACACACACACACACACACACACACACACACACACTTTTAAAACAGCAACAAAAAAGAAGCAAGGGTAACCAAGATGGCTCAGCAGGTGAAAGTGCTTGCTACCAAGCCTGACAATCAGAGTTTGATCTCTGAGACACACATGGTGGAAGGAGAGAATTGACTCATGCATGTGTCCTCTGACCTCTACATGCACACCATGCATGGCATGGATGCTCTTTCCCCAAATAAATATTTTTATTATTATTTTTATTATGTGTATGAGTGTATTGCCTGCATGTGTGTAAGTGCACCTGTGTTATGCAATGCCTGGGGAGGTCAGAAGAGGGCATCGGATCCCCTGGAACTGGAGTTAGGGACAGTTAGGTGCCAGATGGGTGCTGGGAATTGAACCCAGGTCCTTTGCAAGAGCAACCTGTGCTCTTAACTGCTGAGCCACTTTTTTGATCTTTTTGAGGTCCTCCTGTAGCCCCGGCTGGCCTGGAACTTGTCTGCCTCTGCCTCCCGTGTGCTGGGATTAAAGGAGTGAGCCACCACATCTGGCTATTACTGTTACATCTTGATGTGTAATTTAATGTGTAATCAGATCTGAGTCTCCATGCCCACACTTGGAAGAGGTTCAGGAGCAGCTGAGCAGCTGAGTGTGGTGGTCACTCCTGTAATCCCAGCACTTGAGAGGTGGAGCCAGGACAACTTCTACAAGTTTGAGACCAGTCTGGATAATTGTCTGGTCTGATAGTGAGTTGCAGTCCAGACTGAGCTATAGAACAAGATCTTATCTTAAAATAAAAGACAAAACAAAACAGAGGTACAGAAGCAGTGAAGATTGTTGTGTGATTATTATTGCAATGTGAGTTGTGTTCATGTTCAATTTGTGTTGATTTTTATAAATCAGCTTCTATAAGAATGTAAAAGATGAAGCAATGAGAACTTGGATGACCCTAACCTGCGTCTTTGCTTTGGGCAGAAGACCTCCGGAGTGGTGACTAGGACTGCCTTCCTGGCCCTTGTCCGGTGCAAAGAAAGAAACTACCATTTTTATCACTAAATAGGAATAAATGTGAATGCTATTGTAACTCAGTTTTCTATTTATATTTAGTTGGTTTGACAAAAGCTGAGTTTGTGGCAAGGTTCCACCATAAGTATATATTGAATAAATGATTATTAGATATACTTTTTGTTAAAAAATGTTTGTTCTAGAAAATTAAGAAACACAGAAGATCCTAAAGGAAAAAAATTATACCATTTACCTGCCCCGCTCCCCCAGAGGTGACCTCTCCAATACAGGAGCTGTGAGCCCAAATTCTGAAGTGAGGTGCTGGGTGGAACGGTATGGGGCTGTTTATAGCTTCTCAGGATTCCACCTGACCTGTGAACAGGTCTACCGATAGTACCTATCTCACAGTTATTTACAGGTTAAATGAGATAGTCTATGAAGGGAACAAATTTACCTATGAAAAAGCACTAGCTTCAAGCTCTTGTGCCCTTCCAGACTGTGTTCTAGCCACATATGGGTTCACATATATATGTTCTCCTTAAAATACGATTAGCCTGAACATATTATTTTATACCTTGCTTTTATTAATATACATTAATAAATATACTCTTCCTCAAAGTGCTTAATAACTACATAATATTCCAGGGTAAAAACTTGTTACAAGTCATTTATATTGTTTTGGGGGTTTTTTGTTGTTTTATTTTCTAAGACAAGATCTCTTGTAGCCCAGGCTGGCCTCATACTCAGTATATAACTGAGCCTGGCCTTGCCTCCTTATCATCCTGCCTCTCCTCCCAAGTTCCCTACCATGCCTGTGTATTTTAAACAGTATGAACAGCTCTGAACGTGAAACCCTGTCATACTTCTCATTTCGTAAGGCTACATTACCAGAAGTTTTTTTGCATTAATTTATTCCCCTGAATATTTTTGTCTCAAGTAGCTGCTTACTTATAATTACAGCAATGATGTTTTTTCATTTAATCTCAATGCTATTGATTGCAGGCGTAACGTTATTTTATGATTAAGAAAGAACAAACACTACCAGGTACAGGACACACCACTGAGAAGTGCATATTGATTATGGGGGTATTAAAGTCAGGAGTGCTCCCGAGAACTGGTGGGTTTGCAGAGCCTGAGGGAGCTAGGCTTTCTCCACCTCGTAGAATTTAACCACATTGGGCAGGCACTGAGGAGCTAGGCAGCAAGGGGGTGACCTTACCGTGCACTCACTGAAGCAAAAAAACAAGGGCTAGTTAATCCTTTAGGCAGGCTACTCTCCCAGGTTCCCTGTGTGCAGACTACTTCACGTGTGGGGCGCTTAGGACTTCAGCTGTAAGTACCTTTGGTTCTCCTTGAGGAGCAACACAGACTGAGTCAGCACTGTAGCCACACCCAGCCAAGTGCACCCCCCTAAAAAGAGTTAATAAAGTCAGTTCTTTAGGATCGGGACAGCGCTCCTCCTTTGTGTGCCAGCTCGTGTTCTTGTCTTTACTACAGTCTCCAAGGACCCGAGTGCCACATTTGAACTGGGGTCTGCTTTGTTCTTTCAGACACGGAATGAGCCCTGCAACATTGCCATTTCAGCAGAATATATTGCCCAAGTGAAAGGGATCCCAGTGGAAGAAGTCATAGAAGTGACGACAGAGAACGTGTTGAAACTGTTTCCCAGGCTTCGGTGCCTGCTCCAGAAAGAGCTTCAAACCACCCGCTGCAAAACCTAGTCACCTACAGGGGCAGTACTTAGGAAAAGCAAATGTTTAGATTAAGGATCTGAAGAAGTTGTTTTATAGGGATAGCAGTTACAGTTTTAAAGAAAATTTTTTCCCTCCCTCCCTCCCTCCCCGGCTTTGCTGTAGCCCAGCTGGCCTGGAGTTCACTATGTAGACCAAGCTGGCTTCATTCTCACAGAGATTGGCCTTCCTCTACCTCCCAAGGGCTGGGATTAAAGGCGTGTACTACCACTCTGGACTGGAAATATTCTAAAAGCAAAATTTGACTTGGATCCTGAAACCCTGGGCTTGCTCTAACTCTAAGCTTGGCTACTCCCAATTAGTCAAGTCCTGGAGGAGCCTTGCTGTTTCTTATCTCATGCCAAGCAGGGCACCAGACATCTGAAGGCAGCGCTTGTGGGCAGGGCCTCCCCCTAGTAGGACAGGTCCATTCCTGTGGAGACAGGAGTGGGCCAAAGGCTCATTCCTCAGCACTGTTTCACCAGTGAAGATCTGACTCAGATCCTCATGCTTGTGAAGCAAGCACGTCACCGACTGAGCCATCTCTCCAGGTCCCTATAGTGCTTCTTAAACCTCATTGTCTATTAAGTCATCTAAAGATATTAGAGTCTGGTGTAGAGGGTCTGTATTTCCAAAGATGCTCAGATGCTGCTGGCATTGCTGGTCCTTGAACCACAGCAAGACAAGAGCGAGGGCTTGAATTGATGAGAAGGAAAAGAAACTGGTCAGGCAGTTTAGGGGCACAATTCTTTTTGATAACCAGCTTGGTCCTGGCCAGACCTGGAATGTCCTTAGGTCCATTGGTTGTTCTGTCCTGATTGGGAGCCGGAAATACCAAAAATGTTTAGAGGTTCTGTTTTGTGCTCTAGTTTCTTGTTTTTATCTCTTTTCTCCATTTACACAGCAACTTGAATGAGCATGCTGGGAAGCCGTGCATGATCAGGTGCTTCATTGGCCCTTGAACCTGGACCTGAAACTCCCCAAGAGAGTTCATGGATACCTTGTCAGTGGGATGGCTGCACTACCAGCTCACCTCCATGTCCCAACCCAGTGGAGCCTTGACCCCTGGTGGCAGCCTATCCCTGGGACCTGCTCTTGCTTCCTTTCTCTTAAGCTCTCAGCTATAATAAAACTCTTTTCTGAAAGCCACTCTTCCATTGTCCAAGAAACTCATTCTTTGAGTTTGAGTCAGAGGACCTGGAAGCCACTGGCCTAGGGTGGCTTTGGTGGCATCCTAGCTCCTAGAGTTGTCTACTTGAGGAGAAAGCCACTGCCACACTCAAGAACCCCTTGCTTCCCCCCCTTTTCACAATGAGCTTATGATCGTCCATGACTTTTTATCTTTGCGTACTTAGTAATAAATGTGTGGATGGCTGAGTTCAGTATACTTCAGAGGTAGTGTCAGCGTGCCTCTATGGACATGACCTCCTAGTTGGGGTGTGCAGGGTGGGGAGGGGCTAGATGTAAGGTGAACAGGGAAGCAGCCTTTGGGCAGGAGGACAGCAGTTGTGAGAGCACTGAGACCAGAAAGACATTTTTTTCCTTTTAAAAAGACTAGGTTTCTTACTGTGCTGCTCAGGCTGGTCCCAAGCTGTTAGGCCTAGCTTGTTAAGGCTACCAGAGTAGCTCAGGCTCCAAATCTAAACAACTCCAGACTGTGCTCTGTAAGCCTCTCATTCTCAGAGAGAGAGGAGCCCACAAAGGAGCATAATGTGAGAGCTTTTTCAGCAAAACCTCCCAGGGGAAGGTAGTTTCTGGTCTCTACTCCTAAGTGGAGTCTCTTCCTCCCACCATGGAAAAGTGTAGATTGGGGTAAGGGCTTTATGCCTGAGTATGCTCCCCCTGCCTACCCACAACCCCTTCATGCTGGGAGTCACAGCCCAGCCCTTGTGTTGACCTAAGCCCTTCCTGTTTAGAATCCTATTTAGATGTCAAGATCTGCTTAGTTCTGCTTGGCTTCTGGTTCTGTCAGTCCATCTCTTTGGAAATTGCAGTGCCAGAAAAGGGCAGAGACTTGCAGGAGCTTCTTGGGGAAGAGACATCGGCTGTCTGGCTACAATGACAACAGTGTCACCCTGAAGGCTCTGGAGCACGAGGGATACAGCAAGAAACCTTTCTGTGTGCATTAATGGGCTGGACTGGCCTCTTGCCTGCAGATGGCCCTGCAGGAAGCCAGGACAAAAAATGTCTGCCCCCAACTATTGACTAAAGGAATACATCACAGCAGATGTGAAACTCCTGGGAGGAGGTGGAGGGTAGCTGGACTTCTCCGTTTCATGTAGGGTCAGAGTCCAAAGTATATACTGTGATTTCTAAGTTTCTGGAGTTATCATGAGGCTGCTTAGGGTACATAGAGCAGGACAAAGTAGAAATGTTTAAAGTGGAGGGGTGAGGGACAGCATTCAGAAGGAGGTGGCATTCAAATGACATACAAGGTGAAGAAGTGTGGGGAAGGAAGGGTAAGAGACAGAGTTCAGAGAGCCTCAACCAGTTCTGCAAAGGCAGAGGTGCACCTATGGGTAGAGATAGAGTCAGGTGGAGACAGGAGGTTGAGGGGTGTGATTGTGTTGTGTATAGCCTCACATTCCTTGCCCTGAGCTCATTTCTATAACATCTGATAGCATCCTAAAGACTCCTATGCTTTATGATCTCTAACAGGCCATAAGCTCTCTAGGTCTGGTCTCGTTTCTGCCCAGTCAGGGAGCAAAAACTCCCTGACATTTCAGAAAGCAGAGATAAGGTCTCCCTCTGGAGCAGAGGTTGGCCTCATTACTCCATACAATAAAGATAATGTCTCCTTTCAGGCAAAGGTTGGGTGACTTAGACTCAGCAAAGATCCTCAGCTGTGAGCCTCAAACCTTGTATGTGGCATCTGGTGGTTCCCATGGCCTTGGGGTCCTGAAGCAGGGAGCCAGTGAGCAAGAGAGCCAGCTAGAGCCTGAGTTCTTTGGTTGTGAACCAAGAGTCTCATCTCTTCTATGAGTGCCCATGAAAGTGGCAGTCTGCCCACCAAGGATCTTCAGACTAGGTATTCACTGTGTGGAAAGTGAAAACTTAGCTCTAGTTCTATTGTGTTACATGCTCCCCATTCTGAGACAGGGTCCTGCTATTTGGCCAGGACTATCCTCCTATGTGCTGGGATTACAGGCATGTACCACCATATCAGGCCAATTTCTTTTACAATACTTCTAAACAATTCACAGACATTGAAAAAGGATCGAAGAGTTTGTTTCTGGAGATGCACTTTATCCAAAAATGGCATTATCTGAAAAACAGAAACATATATTTATATAATATATCTGAGTTTTCAGTATAACCTGGAAGACAGAGAGGATGGGCAGTGTTTCCCTTGTTTCTGTTTGGAAGTTAGGGATTAAACTAATCCTTGCATATTCCAGGCAAGTGTTCTACCACCATGCTATACCACAGTCTATATATTTAACAGGCACAGAAGTTAAGGTATAGAGACACCAATAACCAGAAGCACAGGATCAGGTAATGGCAAAAACAGCTTGAGCCTGAGTCTTCTGCTCTTCAGTCTTTATATTTACGTGGCACTGCCTCTTGGCCTCCACATCTCCCAAGTAAAGAGAGAGCCTGAGGAATCTTTGGTGGAGAAAATTCCTTTCCTGCTCTTCACATCACTACTGACAGAAAGAAGCAAAGGGCAGCCTCAGGATTCTGAGTGTTCTTAGCAAAACCCTAACATCCCTTCCACTCAACACTCATAGAGTCCTGGTATGGTTGGATCTGGAATGTTCTCACATGCCATGTCTTAAATGTTGGATCCTCAGGGTGCTATAACTTTGAGACAGGGCCTAGTGGGAGGTCACCAGGTCACAGGTGGTGTACTCTTACACAATTCTAGGGCCCTTGTCCTCCCATGTCTCTTCTGCTCACCATACTCTCCCCTGCATTGCCAACTGGCATCCTCACCAGAGACCTAAAAGCTATAGCTCTGCCTGGTCATGGACTAGAATCTCTCAAACTGTGAGCCAAAATAGGCTCTGTCTCCTTAGATGTTGAGTAACTCAGGTATTTATTATAGTAACAGACAGCTGACTAACACCTTCCCACAAATTTAGACCACTACGAGGGCAGACCATTTGGGCTAATATTCCGTGCCTTCCTCAGTACTAGTCCAGAGATGGTTCTTTCAGCAGCAAAGAACGCTCCGTCCAGCACTTCCCAAGCCCACCACTGCTTCATGTTTTCCCATAGCATGTAACCTTTCATCACTATCTGAATTGTGTAACTTTTTAAAATTAATTTTATGAGTGTTTTGCCTGCATAAATGTAAGTGTACCACATGTGTGCAGTGCCCATGGAGGCCAGAAGAGGTTGTAGGAGCCTTTGGAACTGGAGTTACAGACAGTTGTTAGCAGCCATGTGGGTGCTAGGAACAAAACCCAGGTCCTTTGCAAGAGCAGCCAGTACTCTTAACACTGAGCCATCTCTCCAGCCCCATAACTAATTTTTAAAAAATGCTTTATGTGTATAAGTGCATGTATGTACATGCACCCATGTCATGCAAGGCCTGCAGAGGTCAGAAGAGGGTGTTGCATCCCCTGGAACTAGAATTGTTAACAGCAGACAGTTGTTAGCCACCATTTGGGTGCTGGGAATCAAACCCTGGTCCTCTGCGAGTGCTCTAACCACTGAGCATCACTCCAGCCCCGTATCTATCTTTAAAACGAGTATCTTGACTTTGAGGCTGCAGTCTTATCATCAGTGTATTGATGAGCACACTGAACACATGACATGAATTAGGCTGAATGGTTGGGTAATGACACTTCAGAGCTGCTGATAGAACTCAGCTGATGGAGTGCTTGCCTAGAATACAAGCAGCCCTGGATTTGAGCCCTAGCACTGCATAGACCATATGTGGTGTTATATACATGTAATCCCAGCACCTGGAAGGTAGAGGCAGGAGAATTGGAAGTTCAAGGTGATCTTTAGCCAACAGTGAGTTTGAGACTAACCACGGCTACATGAGACCCTGTCTTTTTTTAATTTTTAAGTGTTTATGTTATGTGTTATGAGTATTTTGCCTGCACGTATGTAAGTGTACCTATGTATACAATGCCTGCAGAGACCAGAAGAGGGTGACAGATCCCCTGAAACTGAAGTTATAGATGGTTATTAGCATCCACGTGGGTGTTGGGAATTAAACCCAGGTCCTCTACAAGAACAGTCAGTGTTCTTAACCACTGAGCCATCTCTCCAGTCCCCAGACCCTGTCTTTAAATAATTTTTCTTCTTGCACAGGAAAAGAGCTGAGAGCCTCTATGTCTTACTGTGTGTGTGTGTGTCCAGTATAATGTACCTCATTATTATCCAATTTTAAGGTTATTCTGCAATTGCCAACTAAGACATCCATGAAAATTCTGACTCTGCAAGTCATCACCCCCAGGGAATGGCTACTAGTCTCAAGGGGAATGAGGTAAAAGCCACCATTATTCTGGAAAGGCATAATGGCCCAGTATTTACTTAATCAGCTGGCTAACAAACATATTCTGAGTGGCTAATTTGTGCCAAACACTGTTCCAGGATCTGAGGATTAGGCGGTGAAAAGACAAAAGCCCCCACCCCTCCACCATTTCATGGAGTTTAGCTTCCCTGGGGAAGTATAAAGAAAAGCTGGGTAAGCGCTGGTAGAATGTTGACTACTGTTTAGACAGAATGCTATCTGATGAACTTTGAACAGAGAGTGATGAAATGGAGATAGAGACAAATTCAGAGATAGAGAAACAGAGAAAAGGTATGGGGGGGAGAGAGAGACAGAGAGAGAGAGAGGCAGAGCAACCCAGGCAAAGGGAAGAGCATTGCCAAGTTCCTGAAGTGAGAACCAGCTTGGCATGTCACAGAAGAAAAAAGCAAATCCAAGAGTCCAGGGTGCACAAAGGAAATGCATAAAAAAGACAAGCGGGGACTGTTCAGGAGAACCATGCAGGGCAGGGTAGAAATATGGATTTTTATCTAAAGGTGCTGGGAAACCACAGGTGAGTTCTGAGCAACAAGTACCATAGTGCATAAGGGCATTCAGGCTGTCATGAGGTAAATGTGGGGGATGGGGGGCAGCAGAATGGAAACTAGGTAGCCAGAGGCCCCTGCTATACTTTGAGGATCACAGATTGGGCCATGGTGGTAGCAGAGTTTAGACTGAGGACTGATTTGGGAGGAACTGGCAGAACTTGCAGACATACTGGATGTGGGGAGTTAGGGCAGGAGTTTCTCTCTGGTCTTTGGCCATTTACAAGGCTGGGTGATAATAGTGGGTATGTTTGAAGGTGGGGAACAGGAACTCTGCTTTAGCAACAGTTTGCCAAATCTTGATGTTTGGTTCCTCATGTAGCAGATAAGGATTCTCCCCTGGTACCTGCTGGTCTCCTGGGGCGTGCTTATCGGTTCTGTCTAGAGCGGGCGGGCCTGAAGTTCTCCTTTGGGAATGGTAGCATCTCTTTGGGCAGGGGGTGGCTACTTGACTGTTTTTGAAAAAGTGAACTTCTCTAATATTGATTTATTTTCAATAATGAAGCCAACATTTTCACCTCCATCTAATCTCTCAGTTGATCTAAACTTAAGTCAGGAACAAAGGAAGTTACTGTTGACCTTTTCCAAAGTTATCAGTATTCAGAATAAAGTAGACATTCAGAAAGAAAAAAGAAAGTAACACCCTCCTTTATGCTTGTGGAAATTGAAAAGAAACAATAAACCTCTCTTTTTCATCTTTTGTTTGTTGTTGTTTGACCCAAGTTCAAGCTAAGTAGCTCTGGCTGGCCTGGAATTCATTATGTAGACCAGGCTAGCCTGGAACTTCCAATGATTCTTGTGCCTGTCCCCCCAGTGCTGGAATTTTAAGTGCACACCACCACAAATGCCCCTTTTACATCTTAGATGAAAATGCTCAAACCAAAGAAGAGACTAATTAGAGAATCAGAATTTTTAAATAAACCTTTCAGAACACAAGCCAGGCATGGTGGCACACACCTTTAATCCCAGCACTAGAGGCAGGTGGAGCTCTGTGAGTTCAAGGCCAGCCTGGTCTATATAGTGAGTTCCAGGACAGTTGGGGCTACAGGGAGACCCTGTCTCCAAAAGACCGAAGGAAAAAAAAAAAAAAACTTTTCAGAACACAGAGCACTGAGGCAACAATTACATATAGAAACTTTTTGGTCTGAGGATCCATTTTGCTCTTAAATATTACTGAAAACCTTAACCATTAAACATCCTAAACACCAATGAAAAGCATCCAACACCTTTTTAACTTTTAAAGAAGATTTATTTTTATGTGTATGAGTGTTTTTTCTTGCATGTTTATAGGTGTACCATGTGTGCCCAGTGGCTGCAGAAGAGGGAGTTGGATCCCCCGAAACTGTAGTTATGGTTATCAGCACTTTGTGGGTGCTGGGTACTAAACCCAGGTCCTCTGTAAGAATAGCCAGTGTTGGGGCTGGAGAGATGGCTCAGCGGTTAAGGGCACTGGTTGCTCTTGCAGAGGAGTGGGGTTCAATTCCCAACACCCACACAGTGGCTATGAACCGTCCTTAACTCCAGTTCCAGGGAAATCCGAAGCCCTCTTCTGACCTCCGTGACATTGTACAACACGGGTACACTCACATACATGCAGGCAATACACTCCTACACATAGAATAAAAATAATAAAATATTTAAAAAGAATAGCCAGTGCTCTTAACCACTGAGCCATCTCTCCAGCCCCCCCATTCAATATTTTAAACATCATTAAAGACCTTATCAAGCTTTTATTCAACATTCTTCAATATTTACCATATTAGAGATTTAAATAGATTTGTGTGTGTGTGTGTGTGTGTGTGTGTGTGTGTAGTTCTGAGGATCAAGCTCATGGCTTTGCAAATGCTAGGAAAGTGCTCAGTAAAACCATGTCCCCAGCTTATAAAACAGACATTTTAAAATTCAAGAAGATATGTCCACATCCCACCAAAGTCCAGAGCAACAACCTCATAGTGCATGGTAATCTCATGAAAGGATGAGCATGAAAAAGGCAAATATCCTAATGTTAGCATGAAAATGATTCTGACATCACATGCTCCTGAAAAAGTCTTGAATGCCCAAGATCCCCAAGTCACATTTTGAAAACTATGTGTTTAGACACATAAAGACCATGCGTTTGCACACCATTTGCCACAGCTTTTAAACTGGGCCTGTGCTTAGTCTGTATCTTGTCATTTTAAGGCAGAGCTGCTAGTTAACTCTGTTTACTCAAAAAAGGCAAAGGGTTTTCTAAAATAAAAAATAAATAAATAAAAAAGCCTGTGTAGCCCTGTAAAGTTGTACCCTACACTTGTTCCAAGAGGTGGATTTTTCCTTCGCCATCAACATTGTGAGAACATACTAGAGTTGGAATAATTCAACCAGAATGAAAGACTGTACTTTTCTTTTAGAATTAGGAATACTAAAGCATTCTTTGTAAAGGTATCATTTTTATTTTTTCATTTTATTTTTAGAAGAAGCATTTCATTACAGCTTTTAACATACTTTAACATGCTTTTAACATACATAAAAGGTATCTTTTTTTGAGCAAAAGAAACATAACTGTTACAGATTAATGTTAAAACATAGCAGTGTCTCAGTTTTCCATATCACACTGCACCACCTCCCTATACCACTTGCTAAGAGCACTGGCCATAGCCACATCATGGCCAATATGGGCCATTCTTTTATATGTGAACTAAATAACATATCGGCTGTACTGAAAATAATTACATACACTCACTTTTTTTCCAGATAGGTGAGAAATATTGTCAGCTGCCTACTTTAGCTAAGAAACAAGTACTTCTAATCCATATATATGTGTGTATATGTGTATGTATGTGTGTGTGTATGTATATATATATATATATACATACACACACATATGGTTTTGTTTTTTTGTTGACTGTTTTTGACAGTGTCTCCTTAGTTGCAGCCTGCCTGGAAGTCACCATGTGAACTAGGATAGCCTCGATCTCACAGAGATCCACCTGCCTCTGCCTCCCAAGGGCTGGGATTAAAGGTGCACACCACCATGCCTGGCGTTACAATCAATACTTATGACAATACCAAAACAGCTGGTATTTACCAGTTCCTCTTCATGCCACTCTCCCACAGTTTTTGTTATTGCTTCTTGCAGCACTGTGTGCGACACTTGTTATCAAAATCCTTCCCATTTTACTTTAATTTTGAACTTGAGATTTTCCAGATGACAGAAAATGATGAGACAGGAGGTCCCTGAAGTGTCTGTGATCTATCTTAATTATTATAACAGCTTTTCTCAGGCTGACAGGCCATAAACAGTTATAAACCACCTTAAACTGTTCAGACTGTAGACTAAAGTGCTCTGACACCAGGTTCCTGAATGAACCAGCCTGCAGTGGGGCCTGGGATACTGTAGGCACAAGAAAATGAGTCTTAGGTCTATAGTGGTCTTATACCAAATAGTCTACTTTTGCCTGCAGACACATCACCTTTAAAGAACCTCAGGGAAGGGGGCTGGAGAGACAGCTCAGCAGTTAAGAGCACTGGCTGCTTTTGCAGAAGACCTGGGTTCAGTTCCCAGCACCCACATGGCAGCTAACAACCATCCATAATGCCAGTTCCAAAGGATTTGACACCTCCTGAACTCCACAGGCATTGCATGACACAGGTGCACTTACATGCATGGAGGCATAAACACTTCTACATGTAAAATAAAAATAAATACTTTTTAAAAATCCCAGGAAAATACCTAGGAACGTCTTCCAAGCCCAGAAATTCTGCTGTTTCCTTATAAACCCCTCCTATGGGCTGACTGGGTTAGGAACCTATCACATCTTACTTTTTGGTGGAAAATGCCTTTTTTCTTTGTAAACATGGAAGCTCAGTTTGACCCAGGAGGTCCTACCACTTTCGGGCATGCGCTCCTTGACCTTGGTATGAACCAGGGACTCGTAGGCCTGATTGAAATGCCTCTTTTGAACTTGAAGTAGGCTGATGTGGTTGCTTCTTTCCATGAGACAGTAGGATTCACGCTTTTCATTCATCTCTTCCAGGAGCTGCTTTCTGCTGACTTTGTGTTTTTTAACAACTTCACTGCCCTTGTTCATAGATGCCATTTTGTCAACATACCAGTTATCAGCTGGTTCTTGCTGCCCTACAAGCAAATTAAAAATACTGCTTAACTTGGAAGCCAGGACTCACTACCATGTTGACAGTCACTGGGTCTTTCTCCTTCTGCAAGACTGCGATTTTCTAAATGTGGTAAACTGGCTAAAGTATTGTTCTTGTCCCAACAATACTGCAAAATTCAGCAGTATCCAATAATATTTTATTATTCTGCTCCAGTGAACTGACCGATCTAGGCTCGACTCTCGGAGAATGCTCCTTCAGGCTGAGTGTGGGAAGCGAGCACAGCCGAGCCAGCCAAAGATGGAGCCCTGGCTGGCTGCCAAACCTCGTGCTGTTTACTTTAACTCTTGGCTGATTGCCAAGGCTCGTGAATCCCGCTTGTTTACCCAAAGTCTGAAGTATGGTGAGCCCAAAAACAGGTGCTGCCAGCCTGATGATCTTGCTGCGTGGCTAATGAGCTGCACTCTGCCTGGCTGCTGCACGTGTGTGAGCTCTGATTGGTCCTGGCTAGAGGGAGGGCTGTTGGAAACGCTATATGAACAGCTGAGGTGTGTAATAGAAGAGAACAGAAGAGAACAGAACAACTACACGAGACAGCATCATAGTGAGAGAGAATGAAGTGAGAGAGAATGAAGTGAGAGAGAATGAAGTGAGAGAGAATGAAGTGAGAGAGAATGAACAGCATCATAGTGAGAGAGAATAAAGAGTGAGAGATATAATAGAACAGAACAGAAGCAGCATCATAGTGTATGAGATAATGAAAGAGAGAGAATAAAGGATGCAAGAGAAACAGAAGCTTGAACCTCACCTTGGTGTCTGTGTCGTCTTTCCTGGACTCTGCTGGACAGAGTCCCGGCTCGCGACAGCTGAGGGTCTGACTGGGCTTAGCTCCTGCCTGGGGGATGCCCTTGGATCTGTTCCCAAAATTTTAGGACTAGAAAAATCAAGAAAAATAGTTTTTCTCTAATCTAGTGTTTCAAGCAGAATCTGTATTCATTTTGTTTCTTGAAATTTTAGCATACTGAAAGAAACTTCTTAAAGTAAAGATATGAGAGGGAAAAGAAATTTGTGCTTATTTACTGGACTATTTTTTCCATCTCTGACATGCAAAATTTCCATTTTATATTTCTGACTTCCTTGGGACATTCATGACCCATGTCTTTTACAGTATCTGCTGAATTTGAACTCAGTGCAGTGGAGAAGCCTATTAAAAAGCAGTTGAGTGCCGGGCGTGGTGGCTTACACCTTTAATCCCAGCCCTCTGGAGGCAGAGGCAGGTGGATCTCTGTGAGTTCAAGGCCAGGCTGGTCTACATAGTGAGTTCCAGGCCAACTGGGAGACCCTGTCTCAAAAAAGACCGAAAAAAAAAAAAAAAAAAAAGCAGCTGACCCTGGGTATTTGTAATCCTAGCACTCAGGAGTTTAAGGCCAGCTGGGGTTATAGAGTGGGTTCCAGATTAGTCTGGCCTAGACCTGCTTCAGAAAACAAAACAACAAAAACATATAAAAGGTAATATATAAGCCACCTGAAAATATCCCGCCGGTATTCGAGTGATGTAAATAGACCACTTTAGCTATATATTGTAGACAAGAAAAAGAAAAGCCCCTTTCTTTCATTTTTTTGAGACAGGGTTTCCCTGTAGCCCCAGCTGGCCTGAACTTACTATGTAGAGCAGTCTAACTCAACAGAGATCCACCAGCCTCTGCCTCCCCCAGTGCTGGGATTAAAGGTGTGCACCACCACATCCTTCCCCCCAAAGTCCTTTTCAACACTGGATCTAACAAGTTTAAATTAAAGGAATAAAAAGAATGCCTTATAAACTGGGTGTGGTGGTGCATGCCTTTAATCTCAGCACTCAGGAGGCAGAGACAGGCAAATTTCTATGAGATTGAGGTCAGCCTAGTCTACATATCAAGTTCCAGGCCAGCTGGGTCTACATAGGGATACCCTGTCTCAACAAACAAACACCTTACAGATTCAATTAACATTAAATAGTATGATTGGCATCAGTAAAGCTGACCATTTCAACTGCCAATAATGATATAGTAAATACCAAGAATAATATGGATAAATCTCCAATTAGCTCAAATATTTTATTGTTAAATTTTCTTATTAAATGCTAATTCATTAGAGATTAAACTTGAAACTCTTATTTCTTTTAAAAAATTTTTATTTTTATTTTATGCATATAGTGTTATGCCTACATGTACGTAAATGCACCCGCCACTGTATCATGCAGTGCCCACAGAGGACAGAAGAGGGCCTCAAATCCCCTGGAACTGGAGTTACAGAAGATTGTAAACACCACATGGGTGCTGGGATTCAAACCCAGGTCTTCTGCAAGAACAGCCAGTGCTCTTAACTGCTGAGCCATCTCTCCAGCCCCCCCTCCCCTTTTGGGGGGGCATGAGCTCTACCACTGAATTATAGCCTCAGCCTGACCTTTAATAGTTTCACTACGTCCTCTGGAGGAGGCACACATGAAAAATGCACAGGGATATAATCTATAGTTTGTTAAAGGCTGACTTCACAGATGTACTGCAGATGACATACAGATGCAAAGTTCACCAACATCTCAAAACTCACACTTTTTTTTTACATGATTAGAAGCTTTTCACTACAGCTTTAACATATTCGGTAACACACTCCAGAGCAAGAGTATATTTCTTTCACAAGTGGGTGCAAGTTTCTAGGTTCACAGTAGTATAAGCCCTGTAAAACATAAAATTGGATGCGTTTTTCAAAATTCACACTTTTATAGCTACTTATAAATTGTTCAGGTAGAGATGCAGTAGTAAGAGCATGATTTCAAGTCATTTTGGTTTATATGCAAACCAGCTGTGTGCCTTGTTTGGCTTACTAACCTCTGGGCCTCAGCTTCTTGGCTCAGTAGACATAATATGCAACTCAGAGTGTCATACAGACTAAAGGAGCTAATATACATCAAAGTTTACTACTCATTGCCTGCCCTCAGCAAAGGGTCGCTTTATCATGTTAATGAGGCACTTTGAAAAAGAAAAGTGCTGTTGGCCAGGCAAGGTAGTTCACACCTTTGATCCCAGCATTTAGAAGGCAGAGGCTGGTGGATCTCTGTGAGATTGAGGCCAGTTTGGACACATAGTGAGTTCTAGGCCAGTTGGAATTACAGGGGAGACCCTGTCTCAAAAAAAAAAAAAAAAATGGTGAATAGTATTTCCTTGTCTCCCAAGTCACTAATCTGTTTACATGCCTGTGACAAGAACTGGTGGGATTCAGTAAAGATGGATGCTACCCTTGTTAAAAAATCAGTTGAGACTTTCAGGAAGTTGAAAGAGCATTTAGTCATGTGAGGCTCTTGTGAGCACCAGCCCTGTATATGACTGCAACAGGAACAGGTAATTCATCTACTTTTATAATCTTTTAGATGGAGACAAGTGATACATGTAACCTAAGATTCTGAAAGGTATTTGAATATAAAGCATGCATACATGATAGACCTTAATTATTTGTAGATTCCATATTTGTGAGTTCACCTCACTAAAATTCATTTCCTTTGCCCAGATTAATACTTGTCGCACTTTCACAATCATTGGAAGACAAGCACAATACAGCAAAAATTTTTGGCCTCACCTCCCTCTGCTTCCCTGGGCTGCACAACTGCCAGCCCCTTTCCTCGGTAAGTCCAGCGGCGCACACTGTGCCTTGACTCCCCCAGCCTCATTCACCCTCCCAGCTCCCCCGCCCCATCTCTCATCCTAGCCTGGGTACAGGCCAATTTCTTGTCTTGGTCTTTGCCCAAGCTCTATCTACATGGCATATGATAATTATAAGTACCAGACTGGTGGAACTAACCTTCTTGGATGTTTAACAGCCATACTATGAGGCCTATACTAATTTGGTCAGAGGGACATAAAGGACAATTTTTGCTCCTTGCCCTCCAAGATTGTCTAAATTCCAGGAGACTATGAGCATCTCTCAAAATGTCCTGTAACTGTGGTCTGTTCCAAGGGATTATGAGCATCTCTCAAAATGTCCTGTAACTGTGGTGAGTCACCTGTCCTCTTGATCAAGGAGGCCATGGAGACCCCACTAGATGGACTTGAACCAGTGTCCAGTCTACAAAGGAGGGTCAACATAGAGGAAACATTTCCTCCAGGCTTCCAAGTGAAGCCATCCATGGTCCAACAGGACCTTTGACATTCGGGTTTAAGCTCGGGCTTTCAGACTGCACCAATATAACAGATCCGTGCTGAGAGCCCCGGGTAGGGGAAGAAGGGGCTCTTTATAGGTTAGAGACAAAGGGAGGAGGGGAATAACAGTATCACTTTGTGGTTGGTCCAAGAATCCCGCGGGCGCCAACACACTTTTAAACTGATCTGTTGTACAGGATGCAGTGGACGTTTTTTATTGGCGGGTGCTGTACTCAGGGCTGTGGAATGTGCTGGCCATCTGTGTGGTCAGGAGTCTTCATTTTTACTCTATAGAGCAGTGTTCATGCCCGGGCTTATCTAATCTATAGTTTCCTGGAAGGGGAACAGCAGGAGAGGAATAGCAGCAGGCGTGCATTTCAAGCATTACACAGAAGCTGAAAAGAGCAATCAGTGGGGTGTCAGGAGGGGTCAAATGAAGGGGATCTCTGGGTCCTGCAAAAGGAGGGTCAACATAGAGGGAACTGAAGAGTCAAAATGCACTAACTCCATTTTGACTAGCTTCTTCAGACAAGCCCAGACAAGCCCAGGCATGTTGTAAATTTCCAGTTGCCCCCCCCCCCAAGGAAGCTATAGAGTAAGCGAGCCCTGGACGTGTAAAAAGCCTTATAAGGTATAAACGGGAACTTCTGGCCCTAAAGATAAGTCAGCACATTCCAATGCCCTGAAGACAGCCCCTACCAATCAGAATTTCCCCGTACCCAGGATATGGGGCCATCCAATCATTTTAAAAGATGCTTGGCATGTGTGGGTTCTGTGGAATTCCCCAATAAAAGCCCCTGCCTGCTACTGTTCAGGGCCAGACTCCGTCTTTGGCTCATGAAATCTGTGCCCAGGT